AAAATCTTGTCTCCCTCATCTGTAAAAATTACAATATAAATATATGTTTTCTTTCATATAGAAAGGAAAGTCTATAATTCTGTTTTATCACTCAAATTTTTTTTTAATAATTGAGCCAACAGGTGTGAGCAAGAAAACTTTTCCTGAAAATTTCACCTGAAAAATTGTGTAATAACACGAGCGAATATTAATTCTAGTACAGTATTATGATCCTACAACATGCAACAACATTGATTCTATTAACCTTGACATACCCATTTTTACAAGTTAAAAAATGGTGGAGGCGCCGGGCTAGTGTTAAAATTTGCTAAATTTTTATTTAGTTTGTTTATAATAGAAATTTTCTTACCATATTGTTGGTTTTCTTAGACGGCACTGGTCATTTCCTGTGGTGCAATGCGTAACGTCTGGCTCATTCGTCACGTTAAACCCGGCGTCGCGACGCTCTTTATCTTCCGGACTCGAGTGCACTGCACTGAGCGACGTCGTCGTCGACCAAGTCGTCTCTTCTCAAACGCATGCTCTTTGCCGCAACCCTACCACTGGCGTGTTGCCGTGCCAGGAATTTATAAACTCTCTGTTTACATTCTTTCACTCATGAATCGTCTTGGTTTCAACACGCCGCCGAGGAAATGCTTCGCAGTTTTATGATACGGCGAGGTGTTGCCAACAAGCGTCAGACATGAATGGAATGAATTTAACACGGCGAAGGCAGGAAATAAATTGCAGGGTTTAGAAATTGTCAAAATGCGGCGGGAGAGAGTGGAAAAAGCTGATAAATTGTGGAGTTTATCTTGTTCTTTCTTAACATTTTATCCATTTGACTATTTTTAACTATTTGAAGTTTACACACATAAAACGTAAAAACGCAAAAAATTAATTTTGAAAAATTTGTGTGTGAATGAGTATTTTGAATAGAGGAGACACACTGGCCGGAGGCGTGGAAGCGCAGCGACTAAAGTTGCTTGATGGTTTTTGCACTTCTTCTTACTTTAGCTCCAAAAAATGTTAGAAATATGAATTTAAACTGATGTGGTGTCAATTTTGGTTTGTTATAAATAGTTATATACAGGGTGTTTCAACGAGTCCATTAATGACCTTTAAATGGTGAAATTAAAGAAAAATATATAGGACATTGGTTGATATTAATCTAGTCCATCGCCTAAAATGATTTTCAACTATACAGCGTGTCTCAAAAATAAGTTACAATACAAACTTGTGTTTTTTAAATGAAACACCGTATGTTTCTTAACGTTTTTGGATGTAGATTTTTATGACAATGTTTTTAAACTTAAACTTTTATTGGGCGATTTTGCTTACTTTTAAAAATAAGATGGTTTTTTTCACGAAAACATGCACTTTTTAAACATTTACTACAGTAGAAATATTTTTTTTACAACCGCAAAGAAAAAAGTACAAGCTATAAAGTTTTAACATTTTTTTAGTGTGTTGCATTTGCAAAGATAAAAAAATGAAGGCGTTTCTTGAAAGTTAAATAAATTAAAAAATTTAAATTGAATACCCTATTTATTGTTTTTGCATTTAAAAGATTATTAAATTGTCTTTCTAAAATTACTTACTTTTAGGTGTTTATAATCAATAACTAAAAAAGATATTTAACGTTAAACATTAAAAAAAAATACTTTTGTTTCAGTAGCCAAAAAGTGCACAGTTGCACAAGAGATGGAAGAAATATCACTTAATAATCACATTTGTGTTAAACTGAATTTATTATTCTTTATTTTTACAATAAAATGATTCGAATTTCAGTATTTATAATGACTTTTACACTATCTACATAGATAAATCAACGGATAAGTGATCCGTGGTGAAATTACTATGGTTGCTATAGATATTGATAGGCATTGTTGCTAAAATTAATATTAAATGTTAAATATCTTTTCATTTATCAAGTCTAGACATTAAAAGTTTATTTTTTAGATAGAAAATTTATCAATCTATTAGATGCAAAAATAAAAAGTAAAGTGTTCCATTTAAATTTTTTAAGTTATTTAACTTTTAACAAACTTCTTAATTTATTAATCTTTACAAATGCAAAACACTAAAAAATTGCTACAGCTTTAAATTCTGTACTTTCTTCTTTGCAGTAGTAAGAAAAAATTTGTTCTAGCTGTCTTAGTTTCTGTGTAATAAATTTGTGTGTGTTTGTTTTCGTAAAAAAACGTCTTATTTCTAAAACTAAGCCAAATCGGCTAATAAAAGTTTAGCCTAAAAACATTGTTTTAAAAAGCTACATCCAAAAATGCAAAGAAACATACGGTGTTTAATTTTAAAAAAACACAAGTTTGTATCGTAACTTGTTTTTGGGACATGCTGTATAGTTGAAAATAATTTTAGGTGATGCACTAGATTAGTATCTATCAATGTCCTATACAATTTTTTTAAATTTTATCATTTAAAGTCACTAATGGGCTTTTTCATTTCACTGGGATACCCTGTATGTTGTGTAAATTGTTGTTTTTGCTAGTACTTAAACTTTTTTTACATATAAAACTTTGTCCAATTTAATAGTTAAAAAAGACTTTTTTGAATTTTGTCGCTATAACATTAATAGGAAATTGTGCAATTCCAACATGGCAGTTGCATGTAAATGCCCAACCGCAACACAATTCGATCAATTTTCCCCAACACGCATTTCGCATCAAATTTCGCAATTTATTTTAAACCCATCTCCAAACTACCCTACACGGATAATACCGATCCTGTTTACAGATCGATAATTCGAATTAAAAGCTTGTAAATTTACAAATAATATTTAACGGTGTGTGAACGTGACAAATGCTTCAAAAAGTACACTAAACCAAACGAAATTATCAATTATTCGTTAATTTTCGTCCCATCGGAGCGTTTTATTTCATTTGCTAACACGACGTGATACATGACCGAATTAACGAGATCCAAGCCTCAAAAAATAAACAAAATTTACTGTGACGCAACGGGGGAATGTTTCGAACGGGGTTTGGGGGTTCTAGACGTTCAACCGGTGCGTGCCAATGTAGAAAACTTACAAGGATCGAGACACGATGTGATAAATAATGGAATTAATTGGACCTAAGCCTGGAATAATACGCAACATTGGAATGTTTCCGTTCTAGACGTTCAACCAATGCGTGACAAGGTAGAAAAATTACAAAAATTGTGTAAAACGCAAGAAATATTCAAATTAACTAAATTCAAACCTCAAAAAATAAGCAAAAACTTATAATGACGCAACGATGAAATATTTCGAACAAAATTTAGCCGTTCTAAACGTTCAGTTGATGCGTGACAAAATAGAAAACTTACAAGAATCGTGTAAAACGCTTGCAATAAATGAAATTAACAAAATTAATTTCTGGAAAAAAGTAGAAATTAACAACAACGCAATCAAAGCCTGAAGAAACTGCAAAAATTTAGAACAACGCAACGGTGGAATGTTTCGAACGGAGTTTGCTCGTTCTAGACGTTTAACCGGTGCGTGTCAAGGCAGCAAACTTACAAGAATTGTGTAAAACGCAAGAAATGATCGAATTAACTAAATCCAGGTCTCAAAAAATAAGCAAAAATTTCGAACATTGCTTAACCGTTCCAGACGTTCAACCAATGCGTGTCAAGGTAGAAAACTCACAAGAATCGTGTAAAACGCTTGCAATAAATAATCAAATTAACCAAATTAAGTCCTGGAAAAAAGTAGAAATTTACAACAACGCAACGGTGGAATGTTTCGAACGGGGTTTGGCCGTTCTAGACGTTTAACCGGTGCGTGACAATGTAGAAAAATTACAAGAATTGTGTAAAACGTCTGCGATAAATGATCAAAGCCTGAAAAAAACTGCAAAAATTTAGAACAACGCAACGGTGGAATGTTTTGAACGAAGTTTGGTCATTATAGACGTTCAACCGTGTCAACGGTGCGTGTCAAAGCAGCAAACTTACACGAATCGTGTAAAACGCAAGAAATGATCGAATCAACTAAATCCAAGCTTCAAAAAATAAGCAACAATTTTCAACAACGCAACGGTTTCATGTTTCGAACAGGGTTTAACCGTTCCAGACGTTCAACCAAATCGTGTCAAGGTAGAAAACTCACAAGAATTGTGTAAAACGCTTTCAATAAATGATCGAATTAACTGAATTTAAAGTCACGTAACGGTAGAATGTATCGAACGGGGTTTGGCCATTCTAGACGTTCAACCGATGCGTGTTATGATAGAAAACTTACAAAAATTGAGACACGATGTGATAAATACTGAAATTAACCAAACTCAAACCTGAAAAAAATTGCAAAAGTTAACAACAACGTAACGGTGGGATGTTTCGAACCGGGTTTGGCCGTTCTAAACGTTCAACCAATACTTATCAAGGTAGAAAACTTACAAGAATCGTGTTAGATGCTTGCATAAATGATCAAATTAACCAAATTAAATCCTGGAAAAAGTAAAAATTTACAACAACGCAACGGTGAAATGTTTTGAACGGAGTTTGGTCGTTCTAGACGTGCGTCAAGGTAGCAAACTTACAAGAATCGTGTAAAACGCAAAAAATGATCGATTTAACTAAATTCAAGCTTCGAAAAATACACAAAAAGTTGCAACAACGCAACTATTGCATGTTTCGAACAGTGTTTAGCCGTTCCAGACGTTCAACCAATGCGTATCAAGGTAAAAAACTCACAAGAATTGTGTAAAACGCTTGCAATAAATAATCAAATTAACAAAATCATATCTTGGAAAAAAGTAGAAATTTACAACAACGCAACGGTGAAATGTTTTAAATGGGGTTTGGCCGTTCTAGACGTTTAACCGGTGCGTGACAATGCATAAAAATTACAAAAATTGTGTAAAAATGTGTAAAAATAAATGGTCAAAGCCTGAAGAAACTGCAAAAATTTAGAAGAACGCAACGGTGGAATGTTTTGAACGGAGTTTGGTCGTTCTAGACGTTCAACCGGTGCGTGTCAAGGCAGCAAACTTATAAGAATCGTGTAAAACGCAAGAAATGATTAAATTAACTAAATCCAGGCCTCAAAAAATAAGCACAAATTTTTAACAACGCAACGGTTGCATGTTTCGAACAGGGAAAACTCACAAAAATCGTGTAAAATGCTTACAATAAGTGATCAAATTAACCAAATTAAGTACTGCAAAAAAGTAGAAATTTACAACAACGCAACGGTGGAATGTTTCGAACGGGGTTCGGCCGTTTTAGACGTTTAACCGGTGCGTGACTATGCAGAAAAATTACAAGAATTGTTTAAAACATCTGCGATAAATGATCAAAGCCTGAAGAAACTGCAGAAATTTAGAGCAACGCAACGGTGGAATGTTTTGAACGTAGTTTGGTCGTTCTAGACGTTTAACCGGTGCGTGTCAAGGCAGCAAACTTACAAGAATCGTGTAAAGCGCAAGAAATGATTAAATTAACTAAATCCAGGCTTCAAAAATAAGCACAAATTTTCAACAACGC